AAACACTAGATCTACTAAGAAAGTCATTTCTTCCAAAATCCATAAATTTATTTAATAACAAATTAAGTTTAATTAATAACAAATAAAGACCTGTCTCTTATACACATCTAGATGTGTATAAGAGACAGCCTTAAAGACAGGACTGCACTGGGCTGAGGACCTGAAATAAAAATAATAAAATGAAATAGAAATGTTTCTAAGAATTTTAAACTTGGATTTTTATATCGCAAATAATCCACAATAAAGAGTCTGAACATTTGTATGGGTCTTTGTACAGTAAAGTGCACCTACAGATAGGCATTTAAAAAAAAAAAAATCTGCATTCCTCGCAACATGCACATGGGGCCATGCACACATAAACAATAGCTTAAACTAAGTGTGCTTGGTGGCCATAAAGATGGGCCGGAAGGCCAAATTGAATGTCTGACTTAACACAAAGGGACAGGTAAATTTGGACGTTCTATGACTTTTGGTCTCACCATGGAGGAGAGAAACAGACAAGGGCTTTTAATGTGAGTTTTACATAAAAATGTTTTGGTTATCAACATATAATACATGCCTTTTGCTAAAGTGACACAAGGAAATCGAAAGGTCCACTGAATTATCTCAGATAAGATAGTATAATACATACTCCAAGTATCGAAATGCACGTACGCCATGCACTATTTCGACATTAATTATGTCATCATCAGGAATGAAAAATTATCCATATTTGCAAGCTTATGCACAAGTACTAAAAGTGTTTGACCAATCAACACACAAGGAAATGGTGATGTTTTTATTTCTACTCCTAACACAAAATTATTATAAATATGTTAAGATATTAAACTACAGCATTGAAATTACATTGTCAGTCACACCATAGTCTACCATAAAGGGCAAACAACCATTTTTTAAGCCTGATTGAAGATAGCAGAATATTCTCAACCAATAAACTACTATACATAAGAAAATGATATAGATTAAAATAGGTCCTTTATACCACTTTCTATTGTCTGCAACTCATGCATATAAAATGTTGTAATGCACATTCTACTACCTTTGAATAACAAAAATTCTACTACCCTTGAATTGTATGAAACACACAAAAAGGTGTGTTTCATACAATAAACTACAGCCTGCTAAAGTAAAGTTCCATTTTGGGAGTTGTCACTATCTAGATTAGACTTCCAGTAAATACAGTAAACTTATTTTAAATTTTGTTGAGAATTACTTAACTGGTTTACCGTACTTCTAAATTATCATATTCAGGAAAGTTAAGGGTAAGTGTTAACATTAAAAGAAGGAAATATTTAATAAATAAATTTAATAAAATTCTGCAATCCATCCATTTGCAGGTCTATATTACAGTACAGTATATGTAAATACTAAGACAATGTATAAGAGAGCAGATAGCTCAGTCGGCTAAACTGATTGCCATGTGCACGTAACAGTGGTCCAAATTATTAACTGTAAATTATGATTGAAACAGCATATTATATATGTACAATAATTCCAACATTTACTTTTGTAGAAGATGATGTGTATGAATCCCCTCTAAAAGCCCAGCTATGGCATCTGCAGGGAGAATAATCACTGTAAATGGATTAGACTATAGTTAGACTATATAAATAACTACAATAGTTGCTTTGTAAAATCAGTCACTTTGTCTTATGTACATACTGTACTTAATCAACGTCTTGGTAGACATTCGTATTAAAAAAAATAAAAATGTAAAGTAAAAATGGATGAATTATTTCAGCATTGCCTTGTCTTTTCTGTTGTGGGTTCAGGGTACATGCAATTTATCTGTGTTTCTTGTCCAGGGAGTGTAAGGGGATTGTTCATAATTATCAATATTTTCACAAGGTATAAACAGTACACTAGGTGGGAGGGGGTATATGTAGACAAATATGTACACTTTAACATATGCATGAAAATGCTGAATTCACAATAACGTGCAATATTTAAAATATTATTTTTTTGATTGGCTATAACGCAATCATGGATGACTTTTAGTTGACTTCACAATAAATGGAGAAAATGGTTTTGTAAAATCAACATAGTTTATGTACACTTTCAGAGGGAACGGAGAGGGTACCAAAAAAGAGTACTGTTTGTAAACTTGTGAAAATGTTGATAATTGTGAATGACCCTAAATGGCTACCTGATAGGATGCATTTTAATAAGATTTTTTTACAATCACAGTATTATGGCAGATGGTAGAATGATGATAGTTCTGTTCTGTTAATTGCACCGTATGTTTCAATTCACATTTCTCTATAGGCTTCTACTGTTACAGTTATTTTAAACAATTTATTCCCTGCTATGAACATGCTAATGAAACAGATTCTTCAAAGATGAAAAAAAGTGCTAAGATTTATAACAGTGTCTAATAACTACAGTGCTACAAACACTAGATCTACTAAGAAAGTCATTTCTTCCAAAATTCATAAGTTTACCTAATAACAAATTAAGTTTAATTAATAACAAATAAAGACTGCTACCATCACTCATTATACCCCACAGTCAATTCCGGAATGATATTATTCGCATGTCACCCAATATAAAATCATTTAAAGCTGCCTTGGACTCCATTAATATACATAAGCTAGAAATTGCAAATTGCAAGTGAAGTGCTGCGAAGTACAACTGCATATAAAGGTTCTTCGAACAAAATTATTTATGCGAGTCAAGTGAAAATAATGAATAATAAAAATATAACAAATAATATGAGACACGACCCATTGTCTATATTAGAACACTTCTCATTGGGTAACAAAGTCGTAATTTTTCATTTTTGTCAAAAAGTGTCTATAGTGGTGAATTATGGTTTAGGTTTTTTTTAATAAAGTTTCAAAAATTGTATGTGGAAAATAGTTGATTACCAAAGGTTACAATTTTTATTTTGAAGACTGCATGGTCTAGGAAGTGTACATTTTTTTATGGGGAAAGTTTCCAAGGGCGGGTTTTCTAGGGGCGAGTTGACTGCCAAAGAGTGTTGCCAAAGTGCGAGCCAGCGTGTTATTTGATCACAAGTACGAGACATCTCAAGTGTGAGCCAGCGAGCCATGATGTCACGACAATAGATACGAGACGTTACTCAAGTTGTGGGAGGTATCGGCTGAGATTTGTGGAGTACAATTCAAAAAACAACTATAGGTCTATTAAATGAGTTATTGTGATGTTAAATAGACAATGTTAGCTATTAAGGAGCGACATTGTTTTTCATTGGGACCTTCGTCCCTTCAAGGCTAGGCCTATACCATCCTAGCTAGTCTAAGCCTAGAGTAGGATAAGGCTAGCGCAACATGCAGACGTTGGTACGTGTTGGTTAGTCTACAAACGTCGCCTAAAGTAATTGATTTTACCCGGCAGAACGAAAGAAGGAAATTCTGCTTTTCAGTCGTCTTAGGCCCTTGTTTTTTGACAAACAATGACCTTTCAGAGGTCAAATTGCTGTCAAGAATATGAATTAGCTGCTTCGCAGCAATTAATGACCAAAGCTCACTACAATATTTATTTGTTACACACACCTCAACCTGACCGACGTACGTGACAACCAGCATTTTGGTGTTTGTACGTGAAGATACAAATACAGACACATATAACCAAGTCTCTAGATAAACACCTTTCGAATATTCAACTGATTTAAAGTTAGGTTCTAAATAATTAAATTATTTTTATTTTAAAATAATGTTTTATCAGAATTTTTAAGCATTTCTATATTTTTGTATTTTAACAATTTTAAATTTATTTTTATTTTAGAAGTTATACACAATCAAATTTCATAAAAAAAAGCGTCACATAAAATTTGATGGAACATAGAGTTAAACACGTTCAACTTTGTTTGATAAAATTGATAATATGTGACATGACATCATCGTAGCCATATATAGGCACACCACATTTTTTTGTCACATAAAATTTGATAGTGTAGACAAGCTTAAAGAGTTACAAAGAACTGGCAATGTTTTTATTTTTACTGCTTTCTCTGTGTGTACAGTATTGGAAGGAAAACAGAGCATGATACACAACAGGATTAAATATTTTAAGACACATTAAACTACAGCATTGTGAAATTTGTATTAATAACATTGTCAGTGACCCCTTCAAGTTCACAAGAAAGGGCAAACAACCATGTTTATGCCTAATTTAAGATAACAGAATATTCTCAACTGATAAACTGCATAAGGAAACTAAAAAGTATAGAATAAAATAAGCACAAAAATAGGTCCTTTATACCCCTTTATGTTGTCTGTAACTCATGCATAGAAAGGTTGAATGCTCATACCTTTAAATAACAAAGGTGTGTTTCATAATACCATAGTGATAATATAATAAACTACATCCTGCTATTAAAATGAAGTTGCATTTTGTCATTATGTAGATTAAACTTGCAGTAAATAAACTGTTACATTTTCTTGAGAATTACTTAACTGGTTTACCGTACTTATTATCATATCATAAATTATTATCATATTCATTTCATTTGTAAAAGATGACGTGTAAGAATCCCACTCTAAAAGCCCCGACTATGGCATCTGCAGGGAGAATAATCACTGTGAATGGATTGGTCTATAATGTCCAAAATAACTACAATAATTGCTTTATTATAAAGTCGGTCATAATTGTCTTATAATTAACATACCTAACTAGGTAGGCCTTACATCTTGGTAGACATTTGTAAAAAAGACAAAAGTGTAGAGTTAAAATTATTATGAATTATTTCAACGTTGCCTGGTCTTTTCTGTTGGGGATTCAGGTTTATACATGCAACTTATCTGTGTTTCTCATCCAGGGAGTTTAAGTGATTACCTGATAAGAAGCTAATGTCTACAATTTACAGTATTATGGCAGATGGTAGTCAGCTGATGATGATAGTTTTGTTCCATTTAATTGCAATGTATTCAATTAACATTCCTAAAACTAATTCAGCAAGGCGGATAAGAGTAGATGTGGCATGTGATGTAGGATTATCTGACTCCAAAAAGTAATTAAGAGCAGTAAGGCCATCCGATATGGGTATGCTGGTATATAAAGATGTAACATCCATAGTAAATATAAGACGATGGTCGATATATATATATATATATATATATATATATACATATATATACACATATACATATATTTCGTCTTAATCTGTACCCTCCACTGATGAGGCTGTAGAGCTGATATAAATTTGTCCGCACTTGGGATTTTTTCCAGTGGATAGATAGTATATAACCTATATAAACTTTATTATAGACTCAATATGAATGTGAATAACACCGTTACGAGTGTGTAGAATGTTCAGATAGCCTAGTTATAAGGCATCTGTCAGTCTTACCAATATAGTCACAACTGCAGCCAGGGCATTTAAAATGATACACAATTGAGCTACGATATTCATTAGGCATTACATCTATGGTTGAAGTAAAGTATGATACTTTTTTTTAGTTTTCCATGATATTGAATTTTACATTTTTAGATAGATTTCTTTTGACTTTGCCAATTCATCTACAGAGGAGTACTCTCCATGTTAACCAATATGGTAATGTACCAAAATTTTAGTTATATCCTTACTACTATTGTTATCAATATCATTAGGCTTAGGATTATCAGAAAGAAATTTATACAAAAAGTGTGTTAGCTCATTGTCTAGGGAAACCATTCCAAGACATGAATTTCTTAATTTTGTTAGTTTCATTGTTAAGGCAATCAGTTGGGTTACATATTTTCTTCACTCTGAAAATTCAGCTTCTAACCATGACACTTTATGATTAGAAGGAACAAAGCTTTAAAAAGATGTAATGCCTATAAAATAACGTAGCTCAATTGTGTATCATTTTATTTAAACATAATCAGTGTCATCTGTTGAAAACATAATTTAATGGGCGGATTTATCATCAAATTCCAATTTTAGACATTGCCCATCAAAAGGGAAAAAGAAAAAGGACAAGAATATGAATAATTATGTCATTAAATGGTAAACATTTTCTATTGGTTGCATACTGAAAAAAAAACTGCTTTTAATCTTTCTTAAATTTACTTTCTTTGAATTTAAAGATGAAATACATGACTTTTATGTCATCAGTGACAATGCTGTATGGGAGAAAACGACAATAATTGAGTTGCAGAAAAGGAGGCAAGGAATACGGTGTATTAGCAGAAATGAGTGGATTCCTGGAAAGTACAAACTTGATAATTTGATAAAACCAGTTAATAACAGTAAGAAGGTTGTTGTAGGATTTACACCATCATCATCAACTGGCAGTCCACATTATCTGGCACAATTTGTTGTTCAAAAAATGTTGGCTAACAATAACATTGGCAAACTTATCCCTGTCAGAATATCAAAAGATTCCATGATACCAGAATGTCTGAGTGTGTTGACTTCAGCAAATGGTTGGGAAGATAACTTGTATGAGTTGTTGTTGGGTGCATTACATGAAGAAAGTGGGTATATTCACTTATAAATATTATTACAATAATTACTTCATTAATATCTTTTTCAAAGTGTCATTATTTTTTAAAAATTATGAATTAAGAAAAGGTATTGTATTTATCACTAGAAATGTTAACCCTAACCCAGAAAAAAGAATTTCATTTTTAGTTTAAGTGTTTGGAAAATTATTTACGTTTACGCTTGTGGCACTTTTCTTTGGACATAATTCACTGAAAATTTTATAATACTGCTAATTTCAGAATCACAGGCAACAACAGGCATTGTACGTTCACCACACATGAGCAAGGTAAGAATGCGATGTGTTTAAATATTAAATTGACTAAAACTTTGACAACAGAGGCATGCTGAAACATAGGAATGATGACAAACATATTTTCAATAAATTTTCCACTGCACAGTTAAGGCAGAGAATTGATAGTACGTTTAGCGGTAAAGCAGATGTTATAATAATAATAAACAGCACTTATAATGCACCAACTCTCTAGCCTGCTATTCCAAGGTGCAGTGACTCTACGAAATGAAAAAGTATTTACTTCTAATATATTGATTAGTTGGAAAAGCAAAATGCAGAGGCTAAATTTTACAAATATACCTAGTCAAAATGTATATATACTTGTTATAATTGCAATTTAAAATAAATTCACTGACAAAATCTTTAGCTCTAAATATCTCTCATTCTTGAAACAGGGGTGGTGCCATATTTGCCTCTATGTCTCTGATGATGCCCCATCCCACTGGTGCCACCCTTGGGCCAACCCGGTTCAGTACTTAATCATTTTGGGCCAGGCATACAGTGGCATAACTAGAAATCTTCAAATGGGGGTGCTGATTGGGGAGGGCGAGAAGGTGAAGTGGGGGCGGGGGATCTGGCAAATGAAATGCAGTGACGCATAACATTGCGCAATTTAGAAATGATTTTAATGAAATAGCAGAATTTTAAAATAATATTGAAACGAGGGAGGTCATGCTGTATTGCCCTTGCCTCCTACGACCTGGTTTGTCTGGCATACGACTTTGCCTTTTCAGGCCTAAAAACCCTTCGCCTGTAAGATTTAGGGTCTACTCAAAATATGACGAAGCTTTTACTTTTTAATCAGCTATGTATTTTAAACTGAATTAAGACTACAAATCTTTGAAGTATGTCGATTGATTGGTAATACATTGACTATCTTTTTTTCATTCAAATTATTATATTCATTAATAAAGATGTAATTTTTGTTAAAACCGAATTTAATATGCTACCTTTGTGGTAAAATATTTTATCAACGTAAACTGAAATCTAAACAATTTTTCTTATTACATGCTGTATTTTATCCAATTGTAGATGTACAATAAAAAAATATACTAATCACTCTTAAACATAATCAACAATAAACGAGCACAAATTATCCTCCTTAGTTCCCCATTCTAAAAAATAATCAGGCTATTGGAGGATTACATTGAGGCTTTAGCATAATGCGTTATATAAGCCAAAATTATTATTATTATTATTATTACTTAGCCTTTAGATTCTGTTATTAGACATATGGCAAAAACTGATGTGATATTTCCCTGTTGCTGCTATAGAACTACAGTACGAGGGGCAGATCCAGAGATAACCGAAATGGGGGCCGAAACTGGGGTCGATCAAGATAACATCAACCTAGAGAATCAGGGGGCAGGCACCTGAGAAATGTTTGCATTCTAGACACCCGGAAATAAACTCTGAGGCATTTTGGGCGATCACTTTATTCTTTTTCTTTCCTTCTTTCTTTTTTTTCCCTTCCAAAATATCCGGCCCTTAAGTACTGTAAATCCTTGAATACCGTGGCACATATGAATTGTTTAGAGGCTACAGTGCAGCGCTTATTTTAAAAGGTTAGACTGAGTAGTCTGAGCATAGACAAAAAGGTCCTAGTCTAATTATTCAAGTATGTAACCATGTCATAGGCCTGTATAAGCTCATGGAGGATGTATTTTATTTAAAGGTCATCCATACCAAGTAGTAGGCCTTTTAACATGTTTACTGTACAGTATATGGGATAATATGGATTGCACAAAGAAAACAAATGTAAATCCTTATACATACAAATAACCTTATACATACAAAATCCTTATACATACAAATAACCAAAAAACTATTAATTGAATAATATAATATAATTATTTAATAATCAAGTAATCAGGCCTACTGTACCAATTTAATAATTCATGTACAAATTTATTTACAATTGAGATAAAATATTGAACAAAATCCAGAATTGATTTTTAAAAATATTTACAGTTAAATTTGGTGAATACAATTTACATTATTTAAGAATCAAATTTAATAATAAAATAAAAAAATATATAGATATAAAAAAATTTAAATAAACTTGATTAGGATTTATAATAGCTGCATTTTCTTTAAATCATCCCAGTGAACCGTATGAGGCCTACCATTATAAAAAAAATCATGATTTATTAAAAAGCGTTTCATTTGTTCAACTATATAACAATAGGCCTACTGTACGTAAACATTGGCGAGAACATAACAGATTCGATCTAAAAAAAGAGTACACCATTCTATTTCTTTACAGATTGCTACGGGCAAGGCATTGTACACACTAAAAGGAACCAAAGATAAACAAATTTTCTGTCAAATTCACTGTAACAATGAACTGGAATTCTTCTGCCCAACATGCCAGAGATCAGCATGTAAACACTGTGAACATGGTTTTAATTGTTTACGAAAAAAACATGATGTGCTTGAAATAAAGACTGTTGTACATGCTGTTACTAATACACCAAAGGACATTCAAAAGATGTTGAATGAAAGACTTGATTCTATCAATAAAGCTAGATCTCACTGGGAAGATCATGTACAAGTATGCAGAGCAGCTATTATAGAGAAAGAGAAGAAAATTATCGAGACAGTTCAAGAGGAAAGCAAAAAATTAATTTCAGAACTTAAAAAATTAGACAAAGAAAAGAAAGAAGAAATTGATAGTCAAGTTAAAGATATTAATGAAAAGCGGTCTCAAGTTGATAATGTGATGTCCTCAATAAACAAACCACAAGAAATAGCAACTCTTGTATCCTATATGACAACCATCAATGAGTTCAGAGACTTTCATGAATCATTTCATAAATTGAATATTATACCAAAGTTTATTGAATTGAAGAATTCAGGTTGCATTGGTACAATCAAAACTGTCTATGGCATGTTCAAGGTTGATCAACATGATGAAGCGTTTACCGTCACAAAAGAACAGCCATTTGCAGTAACCGTATCAAGCTTAATTGAGAGCGATGCAAGTAAATTATCTGCAACTCTAAGCAACCCATCACATGAAGAATCAGCCACTACGGTAGAGTATCAAGGAAATGGAAAGTACAAAATAACAGGTAAATGCAATGTGGAAGGTGATTGGCAAATGAAGATTATTGCGGGAGAGGCGCACATCAAAGGATCTCCAGTGAATATCAAGGTGGAATCACTGGGACTTGTACATACCACTGGTAACATAGCAGATTATAAAGAACACAATAAAGAAAAAAATGTGAGAAATGTAGTGTTAGACACAGATGGATGCATATTAGTATCTAGTAATAGTAAAGATATATTAAAGTTCAATCAATCAGGTTCATTTGTTGCTAGGATACAGGTGCGACAAAATGTACTGGTTAATAGCATGCATCTAATGAGTGATGGTCACATGGTGTACAGTGATGTCTTAGGAAGATGTGTTGTAATGTGTGATGATAAATTTAAAGAAATTATCTCATTTGGTAAAGGAGATTTGAAATATCCAAAGGGATTGACATTAAACAAAAAAACTGGAGTCATGTATGTAGCAGATAGGGAGGCTCTCTGTGTGTTTAAATTCAATGTTGATGATGGTAGACTACTAGGTAAGATAGGTTCAAAGGGTAGTGAAGTAAGTCAGATGAATGAACCAATTGATGTTACTTTAACCAAGGAAGGTCATATGATCATTGCTGACTTCACCAATCATAGAATACAAATGTTTGATGCAAATGATAAGTTTATGCGAATCCTTGTAGGTTGTGGTAAGATAGATGGTAAAGTTTGGTCTCCTTGTGGCGTAACCTTGGATATGGATGAAAATATAATAGTATCAAGTAATCATAAACTACAATTATTTGATAAAAATGGTGCCTTTATTAAACGAATAGATCATGAAGATGATGGATTACATAGCCCACTAGGAATCGCTGTAATCTCCAATAGACCAAGAAGAGTAGCAGTAGCAAACTACACAGCAAACAATGTTAAAATTTTTAACTATTAAATAACATTGAAATATTAAGCTGCCTATACCATAATTGATAAATATACAGTATACTTTAAAGAAAATTGTCATCAAAATAAATTCACAGTAACTAATGTACTGTGGCTAGTAATTGTCATTCCAGGACAATATCATGTATGCCTGTTTACAGTAATATACAAGCAGGATTTATTTTGTGTAAACACCAAGGATTGCCCACAAAAACTTAGAAAAAAACTTATTTCCAGTGGGGTCCTTCTGCTGGTTATTGGGCAGTACACCAGGGGACAATCCCCTACTCTTTACTGAAGAGTGTACTGCATTTTTTAACGTGCACATGGGCGATAAATGCACAAGAGACCAACGGCTTAAACGCCTCATCAGAAGTGTTTCACATAAAACACCTTTCTCTTCATCTGTAATTTAATTATACCACGTTACAACAAGAGAATTGGAGGTTTTTCATTTCTTTGTTGCTGCGAAGCAGCCAATTCATATTCTTGACAGCAATTTGACCATCTGAAAGGTCACTGTTTATCAAAAAACAAGGGTCTAGGGCGACTGAAAAGCGGAGTTTCCTTCTTTCGTTCTGCCGGGTAAAATCAATTAATTTAGGCGACGTTTGTAGACTAACCTACACGTACCAACGTCCGCATGTCGCGATGCTCGAGTATTACTATTCAGCGTTTTTACTATATCTAGGTTTCCTATTTCTACGTTTAATCGGCCCATGTCTCAGCCACAATATTTTGAGGCCAATATTATTTACGAACCCAGTTAAAACTTATTTACTAGCCTATTTCAGCGTGCTAATTATTACATATTTAGGCGACGCTTGTTGTAGACTGGCATACACGGTACCAACGCTCATTTTTGCTATGTTTTTACGTCAGCTCGAGACGCTTACTATAACCATGGGCGGTATAAATGTCAACTCGGCCCAAGTCTCAGCACATTATTTTGAGGCCTATAGTATTTACGAATCCAGTTAAACTTATTTATATCAACGTGCTAATTATTACATTTTAAAACAATAATTAAAAATGTATTATACTAGGGGGCCGCGAAACTGTGGCCAAGTTGACTCGAATTCGATCATGCTTACCGGTATGTTGTGTGGTGCGTTGGCAGTCAACTCGCCTCTACAAACTCGCCCCTAGAAAATTCGCCGCCTTGAAAACTCCCCATACTAAATCATCTCACCAAATAAAAAATCCTACTCTAGGTCTAGACTAGCTAGGATGGTATAGGCCTAGGCATAGCCTTGAAGAGACGAAGGTCCCAATGAAAAACAACGTCGCTCCTTGATAGCTTTTGTCTATTTAACATCACAATAATTCATTATTAGACCTATAGTTGTTTTTTTAATTGTACTCCTCAAATCTCAGCCGATACCTCGCGCACAACTCGTTAACGTCTTGTATCTATTGTCGTGATGTCATGGCTCGCTGGCTCACACTTGTGAAGTCTCGCACTTGTGATCAAATAACACGCTGGCTCGCACTTTGGCAACACTCTTTGGCAGTCATCTCGCCCCTAGAAAACCCGCCCTTAGAAACTTGCCCCATAAAAAAATGTACACTTCCTAGACCATGCAGTCTTCAAAATAAAAATTGTAACCTTTGGTAATCACATACATAGAAATTTTTGAAACTTTATTAAAAAAAAACCTAAACCATAATTCACCACTATAGACAATTTTTGACAAAAATGAAAAATTACGACTTTATCACCCAATGAGAAGTGGGCAATTCCACGGTAACAGTGTGACATTCAGAGACAAATTTTTAACTTAAAATAAATGAACATCATCAAACAAACTCTTTATTTACAACTACTACTACAACACCCTTTATAATCAACAATTACATTTATGAAATAATAACTAATATTTGCGTTGGTAACAGTGTGACGAAAAAGGACATCAATTTTTTGCCTGATTACATAATGCTAAAACCCTGTGAACTGGAAGTTGTTATTTTATTTTCAATGTATGCGTAACATGAGATACAGTTTAAGCTTAAATGTGACACAATATATTTTTTAAATGGTTGATGAATACTAAAAATATTAAATGATAACTAATTAAATACCCGGTAACAGTGTGACAAAATGTCCACATGAATATCCATGTTAAAAAAGCAGGTTTATTCAACAATAAATAACATCGTCATAATAATGTTTCCTGTAAGGATGTATATATAAACAATTCAGAAAACTATATGTCTTGAAAAAAAATGATTTAGCACCATATTTTTGGGGGAAGAGGAATACAGGAAACTAATTAACAGAAAAATACATAAAATAGCTTATAAGTGTTTAAATTTTTTTTTTTTGCTTAATAATTAGATTAGATTAGAAATCTTTCTTTATTCTGGATACTCAGTCAGTATTAGTACACTGTTCTTCCCTGAGGTCCAGGGTATGATCTTAAACTACTTTAAATTAAAAACAGAATTGATAAAGAAATATATAAGTTACATAAATATAAGAAGCAGAAAAAAGATTGGTAAATTAAATTAGATTTTTAAAGGATTGTAGGGAAATAGAATGAATATTACTGCGGATATCTGATGATAAATTGTTCCATAAATTAACGGATCGATATAAAAGATCGGATTTTAATAGTTTTTGGGTCACTTTTAAGTTTTTTGTTTTTTCGAAGAATATATATTAATGAATGGTCACTAATACCAATACTTCTAGTGCCAGAATGTGTATATTTATCTTCGTTAGAGACAAATATTAAATCTAAAATTGTTTGAGTAGAATTTGTGATTCTTGTTGGTTGGTTTATTAGTTGAGAAAGACCACTATTATTAGAAAGTTTTTTAATTTTTGTTAAGTTACATTTTTTCTTATAGGTTGGTAAATCTCAAATAACTAATAAAAAACATAATTTTAAAAATTATAATTAGAAAAATGTAATTAAAAATATATAATTAGAATTCAGTAACAGTGTGACATAAATATCAATCTACAATATAAATATGCTTTTCTAAGTTTTCTTAAATTAGTGTCAATATTATGGATTTAATAGAATTAATTAACAAATAAAACTCAATCTAGTACTTTATTGAATAAGGCGCACACAATATCCATTTAAAATGTTTGCAGGCCCTGTACAGAATTTAATAAATAGAAATTTACAAAAAATCTGTACTTGATGTATACATTAAAAGTTAAATAGAAAATTGGGATATTAAAAAGCATCCCAATACAATTTAGCACATCAAAAACATACCGTGAAAAAAGATAACATACAGTAAAAATAGTAATAATAATAATAATCTTGTCGTTTAAGATGCTTAAGAAGAGAGCATATCACATTGATCTCTGTTTAAGGTGTGTGCATCAAATACAGCGTTGTATTGGCATACTGTACAGTGTGGAATGAATTGCCTCCGACCTTCCTGACAAAAGCCTCAATGGCACAGTTGGTTATGGTGTCTACATAGACAACAGGTTAGAATCCCGGTTGGGGCAATTTTTTTTCCACTTCTTTACTGTGTAAAATTTATATATGCATATTAGCATTACCGCAAGAAAATTTACAAGTTATCTGTTCACTTGTTACATTAATTATATTTTATAAATAAGTAATCAAAGACACTAGGTTACAAACTCAACATTTTATATATTTCGTAGCTGAACTACACGCATATACTATAGTAGTAGTAATGGGAGCAGAGGAGGTTGCACATTGTATATGAGTGAAACCATTGAGCAGTTCCTTGGAAGTGGGCATTTGAGCTATATGAATGCTACCTATGCCATCATATCAAGAATCAAGAATACTTTATTGTCATTGATCAAATAAGTCAACTGTTAAGTTCTCAAATATATGCCTAAGGAGTTATAGTTACCGAGAGCGCCCCCATAAATATGGATGAAACAACTTGTAACTATCTCACATACCTGTTTTTAGATAAGAAGGACTCGAGCAGGGTGTCCTTTTGCTGCTTAGAGGTAGTAGTAGTATTGTATGTTACAATGACTGGCAGCCATATTTAGGAGGATTAAAAAGGCAGTATTCAGATGGGTCTGAAGCTATTGTAGTCTACAGAATGAGGGAGCAAAAATTCATGGAAGGAATCATACCTCACTACAACAGATAGTTATTAGTAGATAATTTATGAATGATTAGGTATAGGGCTAAAGTATAACTATGTTAACGTACTGATGTTATGCTATGCACTTGTTAATTAATAATGTCTACTGTTTAATGCATATAGGAATGTATGAGAATGATTAACTTATATATTAATACAATGAAAGTACAGGAATTCATATAGGAATGTATAAGAATGATTCACTTTATATATTAATACAATGAAAGTACTGTATAGGATACAATACAGTACATCAATAAGACTGTACCTCTTTACTTAATGGTGCTTTGAATGTGTGATTAAGGTTCCTTGATTAGAGTGCGTTATTTTAGGCAGCGTATCGAGTGCTGACGTAATCATAGCACTGTGTTTATTACTAATAGTAACGTATTTCGTGTAAAGGCAAAGTATCATAATATACTGCTATCCCATTTAAGTGTGGAATATAGGAATCACAATACACTATAGTAGCCTATGTATGATCACAGGCATAATTGTTTAACTTACAAATAATACAAGCTTGGATTATAACTGATAATATGCCTGGATTAAGGCCTGTTTACACTTCAACGATAACGATAAAAATGCTAAAAAGCGATTGTTCATATAGAAAACTAAAGAAATGAGAAGTTTTTACACTAGGACGATTCCATAGCGATTTATCGTGTATGCAATAACAAAATATTTTAACAAATCAAATCAGATGACGTCATAATCATGGACAAACTATAAAATCGTTGCTACTACGACGATTTTAGTGTTTTTCCATGATTATGACGTCATCTGATTTGATTTGTCAAAATATGTTATCGCATAACTGATAAATGGTTATCAATCATTCTAGTGTAAAAACTTAACTTATTTCTTTCATTTTCTATATGAACAATTGCTTTTTAACTTTTTTATCGT